TCCACTTCACAGCACTTTGGCGCGCTGTAGTCCGAATAGGCGTCACCATTGAATACGACCTACGACGTAGCAATCGAATGTAGTCAAAAGTCTTGTGGCTGTCGTCGCTCACCAGGTCAGGTTTCTCGGCTTCTATCAGGATTCTCTGGAAGACCTGAACAACTGGTATTCCAAGCACGAGAGTGGCAGTTATCATATTTGTGGAAACTGGACCCTCTGGGGAGACGGGGAATGGTGAATGAAGCCTACATAGGATCGTAGGTCCTTATCAGCCGCCTCTCCATAATGCAAGTCGCTGAATACGAGGATCTTCAGTTCTCCTGTGATGTCGCTGAAGTGTATCCGAGGTTTGGCTTCAATCCCGACTAGCAGGGCCGTCGCGGTGAGGAGTATTTCGTAGTAATTATGGTAATGCACCGATACGTTCCGAACTAATCCTGATTATCTTGTGCTAGCTATGCTTATCCATTCTACCCTAATGATAGTCAGGGGGGCAGCCTTAGCTAGGATTTATAGTTATAACCGATCACTGTCGGCTTGGAGTGGAGTGGCTCCCCATCGGACGTCTACGCATGTCACTGTAAATGGTATGGTTGTAGTGATTGGCAAGTCGATTGGTGCATTAGTTGATTGGTATTCTACTAGTGGTAACTCGATGTCCCTAGTGGGTGATGTTACGGTACAGAATTATTCACAGAGGGGGAAGAACGAGCTTACGATAGCGATAAGTATATAGCGGAACCAGTGTTCCAATTCACTTGAAAAACAAGAAGTATAACATTTGTAATGACTATTGTTGGACGCCAATGGTGTTCATCAGCTGCTACACGCATGTCATAAGGGGTGCCGCACAATACGCAGCACAACTACACACTACACAGGTAAAAGTCTTATACTATAAAGTGACAATGGCAAGGATATCTAGGGACCGATCGAACTTGATTTATACAACAATGATATAGCTAGTGCGAGTTACAAGCTATAGACCGTCGGTCTGAGACCGATTGATCGCATGATATGCAGTCCATTCAGGGGTGGGATCACTGAGGCGAGCGTTCCACGCAACAGGGACGCACCTCCATTATGCCAGTATACTCCCTCTACTTTACCGAAAGAGCAGGCTACTAATAGCACTCGGAATCCCGAACTCAAACCGTGTTGACTCAGTCACGGGGAATATATAAACATGTACGTGCTGATGGGGGAACCCAAAACCCGGACGCCGGGGCAGGGCGGGAATATTGCAGGCACGGTTCCGTGCGAAATACAGAATGACGTCACCTGCCTCGGCGCCGGGAAGTCCCGGGTGGGTGAAGAAAAAGCAACAATCCTTGGCTACCAAAGTTGCGAGGGATAACACAGACCGGCAAACACGACACGAAGAATCTCGCTCACCACTGGCGGCGTAGGACCGGGCCGTTATATTAGTCTTACAGTGTGCTTGCACACTGGGCACACAATTTCACGCAAAATTCACGATTCAGAGGACGGCGATCTCGTATGCAGCCGATAGGCAGATGTCCAGAAGCCTTGACTCGCTCATGAACCAGGTGGTCTGCGAGGCTGATACCATAGCTCAAACCACCGAGGCTTGGGAAGCCAGCGGCTCCACCGACGCAGTCGACGGCATCTGTTCCACCGTAACGGGCCCTCGTTACAGGCGCCTCGGTGAGCGACACAATACTGAGATCACTGGACGCTTTCGACTGCGGTTTTAGATAGCGTAGAACTCGCTCCGATGGACCGGCACATCGTTATCTCGAGAGCTGCTAGAGTCGCGCCCAAGGCAGGAATCGCGAGGAAGCTCCTCGAAGGAACATGATTCAGCACGCTGAGATCAGCTAGCGTCAAGCTGGCGACCGAGAGCATCGGCTAGGAAGTTCAGCCGCGCCGGTAATGTTCGTAGGGGCGTTCCTCTAAGAGGATGTAAAACACTATGACACCGATGGATGCGTCCAGCGCCAATTCTCAGAGAACCTCGGTCGTTGTCTACAACCTTGACCTGAGAGAAGCTCGGGAGTCGCTCTGGCCTCGGTTTTGAAACTGAGATAGACTGAAATCTACGCTGTGCACGTGTTGTATGGGGTTCTTCTTCTGTTACTCGTGGAGAGTTACGTGGCGCATTTTCTTCACTGAAGCATGCGACTTCACTTAGACGTTCAGGGTGTTTGTGACGGCGTGTTGTGATGGTAGATAATTGTCTCTGTTGGCTTCATCTTCGCCTGTTCCTCCAATTCGGGCATATTTCATATCGATGTCACCATTTTGAGTTCCTAGCTAATGCAGCTGTTGTCGAACCATGAATATCGTTGGCGCCGCGTTGATGTGTGCAGACATGAGCTCACTTTATTGCGATCGTTTTCTCATCAAGACTGTGTTGCGTCTCCGCAGAGTTCGAGCATGTTCGAAGCCACTGCTCTCGATGGACATAAAATGAGAACTCAAGGCCAATTGCTATTATCATCATAACGCACGCGGTCATGGGCATCAATTTCATGGACGCAATCGGGTCAATAGACACCAATGTACAAACGAGAACAGTGACTTACGCCATCTGTTCTGAGCTGACGGAAGCTTCATAGACTCAAATAGAATCGTCACAACTAAAATATGTTTCAAAAGCTTCACTTGTCATTAGTCACCATAAGATACTGGTTGAGCTGCTCGCAGAATACTGGCAATTTGCTCTGGCTTGAGACCGGCCTGACCGAAGACCCGTTCAGCTACGGCGAGGGGGGTCGCAAGCATCTCGTTGGTGGGCGAGGGCAGGGCGTGTCGCGGCACCGTATCGTCATTGGGGGCCTGGCCATTGGGGGTACCAGTGGCGGCGGCCAAGTGACGTGGGTCGGCTGGGCCACCGTTGCAGTGATGAGCAGGGGATTCCAGATGGGGTGGCACGGGGTAGGCACCCGGGTTCAATCCCGGGGGAACACGAAATCCACCGGGATGGATTCTTGGAGGAGTCGGATTGGCTCCTGGAGGTGGTGGCATCATGGCGCATCTATATGGATTAGCATCATAGTGGACTTCAGTGAGAGGGTACTGGCCGATATGCGAGGGGAAACCCATAGGAGGCGCGAACTGCATTAGAGCCGGATCTGATCAGGTGAACATTAGAAACTCCTGACTAATGCGCTGCTCACCGAATGCCTGTGGATCGATGTAATCTTGCCTCATCTGACGAGCGAATCCCGCTGGAGGGGGAGGGCGTTGGCGGAGTTCATCTTCGCTATGAGCATAGAAGCATTTTGAGCCGTACCTGGCAACAACACAGTCCCTCGAGAGAAGCAGTGATTAACTCACTTGCAATGAGCGCCATAACGGCAGAATCGAGTCTTCATTAACCTCTGACAGACCTCGCTGACTTGAGGGGCTCTCCCTGGGAAGTCGTGGCTTCCGTCTTCAGGAGAATAGGGCATGCCACCGTCGAACCCGTTCTCCATATTGTAAGGATATGGATGCTCATAGTAGTATTGGTTTGGAGTCCAGGCGGCGTAAGTAGGCTTGTTCATCGCCCCTTGGGGGTCGAAGCCGCCCTTGGGAGGATCCGGTTGATCGTCAGATTGTCTCTCGGGTAGGCCCAACTTGGGCTTAGCGTCTCCCTCTGTGTGGTCAGTGGCAGTATCAGGATCGCTCTTACTGTGAGGAGTAGGCTGATCCGTCACAGCGGTTGATTCGCTCGTATCATCCATTTTACTGTTGAGGAGATGTTCGAGCGTTGTAAAAGATCGCAATGAAAGTTGCGCTGACGTAAAAAGCGCCCGCCATTCTAATCGATTATTGGCACATCTCGAGTTGCTCGATTCCACCATTCGTATGTATGATGTCTTTTTCCCACGAGTTCGATACTTCTTCTCTATCTAATTGAAACCACAATTGCTCAATGTGCTCCCGTTTTATACCCCGTGATGAAACAGAAGCAGTGCAGTTGTGCGACATCGCCGCTCACTGTACCAACCCTTTCGGGGCGCCTGTTGAACATTTGCTTCATCGAGGCCAGCGCTATAACAGTGAAGTAATACTTTTTCATCGGCGTTCATGTATATTATGCGTCTTTCTAAAGGATTAGCAAATGGCGAGCGAGAAGTAAAACTGCTTACATGGTAGTCTTAGCGGAGCGAAGCGATTCATGTTGTGCACTATTAGTGTACATGCGTCGCACGTTGCAACAAGCTAACAGATGGAGATTCCTTCCCCAACTTCTTCCCCAACCAAACCCCGTTCGAGGTTTCCCACCATACTCAGAGCTGGTGGTAGGTCTGCTAGTGCCTTTACTTTGGCTAAGGCCACTTTGGGTGCTGGTGCATTGGCGATGCCCTCGTCCTTTCAAGGCGCCGGGATAGTCCTCTCAGTGCTCTTACTAATAGCATTGGGATGGATGTCGGCGATATCTATCAACATGATAGGACGTGCTCAGACTCATTCGGGTAGAGACACCTTTGAGGAAATCGTCCGGCTCTACTACAACGCCTGGGTCGGCTACGTCTTCGAGATCACAATGATCTTGTTCTGTTTCGGCACTGCTGTGGCCTACCTGATTTCTATTGCTGATCTCCTCAACCCCGTGTTCGAGAAGTGGATAGGCTCTCAACACGAACACGACTGGTATGGCGTTCTCCTCCTCAATAGGACGGTCTTCTCGGCCTTGGTCACCTACATTTTCCTATTACCATTATCACTTTTCGAGCGCATTAATAACGTTCGATGGATCAGCTTCGCTGGAGTAATGTCGGTCATTTTCCTCGCTATTTGTATTGTCTACTTGCTCATTAAACACGGCGTCTTTAGTAGTCCGCAAGATACGACCTCGACCTACCTCTGGCCGAGCAAAGGTTTCAACGGCGTTATCAGTGCGGCATCAGCATACATCTTTGCATACGTCTGTCAAGTTAATGTACCACATATTTACTCCGAGATGGTCCCATTCAGCGAGAGGAATCTACGCCAGGTCTCCTACGCATCGGTTGCTCTCTGTTTCGTCGTATACGTAGCTGTTGGCACGTGCGGGTTTTTAACGTATGGGAGCACCACAAGAGGGAGTATTATTCAGAGTATGCGTGCAGATTTTCTCGAAGGCAATATATTTGTCACCATTGCTTTCATCCTTATGGGTGTCGCAGTCTTAGCTGCATATCCTCTCAATATCTACCCTCTAAGGGCAGCTGTGGTGGGCACAGTCAAAGGCATCACTGGTCGTCGCCATCTTCATCGATGGGTCGGCCCAGCTATAACTTTTATCTCGGTCTCGCTCACTCTAGTCGTAGCGATATATTTACCGGATGTGAAGGTGGTCTTGGATTTAGTTGGCTCTATGACTGGTTCGATCATTTGTTACATAATTCCTGCTGGGTTCTGTGTCAGAATCGTGTACTTTAAGCGCAACAAGATGGTGGGGAAGTTGAAGGATGAGTTGGCAGCTGAAGACGACACTTCGATGGACTATCCTAATTGGCTTTCGTTCGGATTTATCGCTTTCGGCGCCGTTTTTGTTGTTATTGGAACATATGTTAGTCTTGTCGGCGTTGTGGAGTTCTACCAGAAGTAATTCTGTCAAAGGTAAATTTCGTATTGTTCAGTCAGCTTGAATTGTCGATCATTACTACTTCCGTCCCACTTTTTTCCATCGAAATTCTGATATCCTCCAGATGTTGTGTTGTCACAATGTGAACACATTGAAGAAACTGCCAAGAGGTTTCACCTCTCGAGCTGTTGCCAAGTTGTTGACGCGGCACTTGTGCGGGAAGTGAAAGTTACTACAACGATTCATGACGTTTCATCACAGCTGAGATGACTGTGAAGACTCTGAGATGAGTTCTTGAATTTTCCTGATTCGCTTAAACAAGATCAGCATAAAAAATCATATCCATTTCCGCTGAGGAAAGGTGATTGACGACATACAACACAAGTTTCATACACAGTGTGCGAGCGAAATGGAGTAACGTTGGGAATCGAGTCAATCTTGGCATCTACGATGATGACGAATCAGCCTCCGGAGCCGCGAACTTGGCCAAATATATGCAAACCTACAAGAGAACGACGCACACTGAAGGTATTGGTGGAGTATCAGTCTACCTCCTGAAAATGCCTGGATAATGCTTCATCGTACGGGGTGTGTTTGGCCTTGTTCACAGTCGTGGCATCTGCTCCTGCATCTACGAGAAGCTTGCAAACGTCGAGATGCCCATTAAGGGCGGCCCAATGCAGTGGAGTGTTGCCTTGGCTATTTGCTGTTGAACGAAAAAACATCAGAATGGCAGAATACTCAGTTATGGCCTACCTTGGTTCGCTACTGTCTTCTTCTTTTCTTCACCCGCTTCCTTTAATAAAACCTTGACGACCTCCGTATGCCCATTAGCTGAGGCCAGCAGCATTCCAGTACTCTTCGTGAACGCGTCCGACTCCCACAACTGCGAAGTGAACGATGAACAGAAAGAATTCAGATCTACAGGGATCATACCAATTCAGGATGAGCTCTCAAAAGCTCGCGTACATCGTCAAGATCGCCGTATCTTGCAGCCTTCAAGAAGGCATCGAACTCATCCGAGTTACCGAGAGCAGGAGCAGGCATCGACAATATCAACTTCGACCTAACCTCCTACTAGCAAACACAACCCTCGACTAACAGCATTGAAGAACGGACCACAACACGTACATGATTCCGGCACGGATGTACAAGAAGTCGGTAATGCATCCAAGCTCCTTATGCTTTTCGGGGCCTCATCATCGAGGATCGAACACAACAGCGAGACAAGGTACACTAGACATAGGTATCTCCAATGGGGCGAGGTAGCGTATGCACTCTTGTTCGATGTGAAGACTCGGCTACTGACATTCTATCACGTCCTTGTAACTGGAAAGGATGACCCTTTCTGACACACAGAGGGGACCGTTGCCAAGCCCTTGGAGATCGACCCAAGCCGTGACGCGGTCGATAGCGTCTCGCAACTGTTCCGTTCGTAGCCGCGATTTCCTGAGCGTCTCGCGCTGTCGCAGTGACGGGCCCTACTGCTTGTCCAACATGGTCAGCGTATTGTGCCGAAATAGCATTGAGGTCGATAAAAACTTCTTGACGTCGTCCCGATGATTCCTCATCGCAATTGAAAGTAATAGAACCCCATTTGTAGAAGGCGCAACGAAGTGTCATCCTCATCCGATCAGTCTTGATATGGCTAGCTAGTCGGAACAAGCGACGGGAATTCCGGGCGATACCCCTCCACAGTCTGATCGAACTAACACAATGAGGGAATCAAAATAAACGTAGGTCACCTAAAGCAGTATAGGAGGGTTCTACGGCTCCTGCGCCTGGAAGCAAGCTCGTTCCAGTGATAAAGAACACTGGATAGCACTTTCGATGCCGTGGTCAATTCCTGAGAGGGATCTGCCGAGGAAATGGTTTCCTGGAAGTTTGTCATACCACTTCTCTCGCAACAATCATCATTCTTGTCGCCTGCCACCATCTGTTTAAATACTTCGTCCGTCTCGTCTGCTCTATTCCGTACGCACGCCCTGCGTTCCTGGGATGGGGGTGAGCTATTCAAGATTGAGTCTAACAAACCTGTAATTTCTCTCGGAGAAGATATACCACTCGGCAAAACATCGGCCGACTAGTCGCTTCTCGCGCACTGACTGGGCAGTACGTGAGACCACCAAGAGCCGATTCAGCGCAACCCAGCACGACAAGGCCTTCCTGGCGACACGCATATGCCTCATGCTGTGTAGGGCTCCTCTCAGTCGCCTGATTTCGCCGGTCAATCGGAGCCAGGCTGTCACAACTCCGACTAGCCTCTGGCGATTGTATCTAGATCACGTAGAGATTCGAAGGCTCAGAGGCAGAACCTCGTGCCTCTCGACGTGGAAGGTTAGACAATTCTCCCGATTGCCGAGTAAAATGGCCAATCATTATTCCCACCTGTTCGTAACAGCTTTCTCAACCTCGCTCCACAGCTCCCTGGCACTCTCAAGAGAAAGCCTCCAGCGTCGCCAGGACGTAGACAGGAGACGACTGTTTCGCAAACCTCGAATATTGTTCACAGCAATCGGCGTTATTTTCATCTTCAAGTTGACCAAAGAGCGCCATTCTCGGCTGATAAGCGACTGCAATCGATTCCGAGTGAGTGATATCAACGCCTGAGCCGCTTTTGCGCGGGCGAAGCGTCGGTCATGCAACTGTCGCCAAGCTCGGAGACAGCTCAGGGCAGCGCGACCAAGCCTGCGTGACCTGCACTGTCTCACGAAGGCGTGTTGGGCGCTCAAGCGCTTCCAAGCTCTGAGAAATATGTTGGTACTTCGAGCCAGCGTTCAGTAACTACCGGAATGCTCCAACTCGAACACACAGGCCATTCCGTTCAGTGAGCTTCCCCATGGAGTTAATCAACCTCCACTTCTTCAGCGTTCTATTGGTATCGATGCGGTTCTGGATAGAGCGCACTGAAATAAGTCGAACTTGTCGCATACAAATGATCAATCCCAAGACCGGAAGCTGGTTATTAGACGCTCTCCTGATTACTAATCAGTGATTAGACCTCGGCTTCATGTCCGATCAACGCGTGACTCTACTAGAGTCACTTCACTAGAGAGTACTCACTCGCCTGTGCTAAGGTAAGTGCTCTGCGGAGCCAATACCATTCTGTGAGGACAGCTCTGGCAACGCGTCTTTGCCCTTCAACCTTGATGTTGACGGTAATGTCGATCTTCAATTGTGACCATCGTAACCAGTGTGTGAAAGCTTGTTGCAGTAACAGCCGAGCATACAGCTGCCCGGCAGCAGTAGAGCGTCGCTCTCGTGAGACGAGCTCGATCCAGGCATGCAAGTGGATCTTCATACTTCTGTCTCCATCCAACCTTCTATTCCGAAGGAACAGGAGCTGAGACTGTCCGAATCATGGTGACAGGACGTACCGATAGAGGCTCACCAGTTCCCGAGCGTGTCGCGTTTGCCTGCGGTGGAAGGCCAATGCTTGCCAGCGGCTCAGGCAGGCCTTCAGAACAGAATCGCAAAAACCGTTGAGGGTGATTTGGCCGATCTCGGGTGCGAGGATTCGCATGAGTTTCGACCTAACGTTCGCATCGGACTCAACCATGCAATCTTTCAAACTTGGCCTGTCTCCGCCGAGTAGCGAGTCTCCGCCATGAATTCAGCTTCTTCATCGTCATCCTTCGCAAGAACTCTCTCTGCCTGGATCGGCTGTCCGCAATCAGCGCCGTCGCGGTCCCCCAATGGCTCAGACATCTCCGCATGAGGCGGATTCGATGGTGATGGTAAACCCTCCACAATGTCGACATGCTAGTTAAAGCCCTTCTTGTGTGGTGGCGGGCCTTCAAGGCGGTAACGCGAACGGAAGACGATTTCAACTTTCGTTGTCGAAATGTTATGTTCGACAGCAGGTAGAAAAAAGTCCATAGACGGACGAACGGGCTGGTCCACGCAGGTAAGAATCGAATCTGGGTATAGAACCAAGAGTTCCCCACTAAACTGTCATCGTATACATGTCTGGATGCGCCTCGAAATGATTCATCCCGGATGCTGGCCCAGTAGCTGAGCTTGTCCTCTCGTTGTGAGCTCATTTGACGAACCAAGTCCATCCAAGCGAGCAATATTCGTTCAAGAGTGCGCCTTTCGACTCTGATAATACGAGGCCTTACAATGAGGGCTTCAATAAACCTACGTAGATGATCCCTTCTGAGTGCTGCATCTGTTCTCACCAGTCCCGAAGGAATCCTCTGGCGAAATGCTCCTGCACATTTATGTACAGTCTTTCAGCGCGTGCCCGAATCAGACGGCTACACTGTAAGGAATGTCGCCAAGCGGGAAACACCGCCGTCAATATGAAGACTAGGATATGCTCCTGAAGACGTGGAACCTTTACGCTATACACAAGCTCCATGAAAAGAAGCAATCCACGTTGTGCAACGCTCCCTGTATCGCCGCGATACTATCGCGCTATTTACCCGAGCTATGCCCGCGGGAAACGAGAGCCGAAGATTCTCATCCCCTACTATAGACCCGGTCGCACTTAGAATTGAATGAATCATCAAGTGAGTTAACTGTGATCTACATTTCCGTTCACAGTTGACTCAAACAGAGACAAACCGTGCAGCGAAATCAATGCGTGAGTTCCGAATCAGGAAAGACACATTGCTGTAAGCTGTGCTAATGTACTCTCTCAATAGCATCAAAATGAACAACATCCTTTCCAAGCTAAAGCTCGATGTTTCAACGGAAGCGCCTTACCTTGCCTGATAGTCCACGGAATGTATCGGCCACGTAGTTGGCTCTCGCTCGCCAGGCCATGAAGTAAGTCGCAGTCAGTACTAAAGCCTTAGAGAGACCTCTATGTTTCGGACCTCGTCTCGCGTGTAATCGGCGCTGACGCCGGGTCGTTGCAATAGTTAACTTAGACCACGCGTAGAGATGCCTTGCTCCTGCCGACTGCGAAAGTGCTCGCCCGATCCGCCAGAGTCGAACTCTTCCTCGTGCCTTTTTTGCTACAAGTTTCCGCCATTGCTGGAGAGCGGTCTTTCGGAGTTGATGCGACGAGGAGGGAACCACGTCGTGGCGACGTATATGACCCGGTAATTGTGGGGTCGTCGACGATGTCATGTGAT